GGTGATTTCATTCCTGTGGCGAAAGGAATCGAAATCTCGTGTACCCTCTTTACTGCGTGAAGACTCTGAAGACGGCTCATGGAAGAATGGCTCTTTGCTAGTAGCTCTCTCTAGCAAGAACCCATATACCATGTCATGCCACTTAACGCATGCCCTTAGTATGTGTATGGCATCTCCTATGTCAATACGGGGCATTTGCTCGTGTAATTGTTTTGTTGTTGTTTGGGACAGCCTACTTGGTGTCGTTGCGAAGGACGTGTAGGCTGTGATTGTGTGTGGTTTATTAGCTCATAATCCAAAAATAGATCGACCATGGTTTTGATTATGGACCGCGGGGATTGCAATATTTGAATGACGCGGAGTTCAGGAGAATCTTATTGGTACCAGTGGAGAGACTTCCTTTCCTCTCCCGCCGAGGAGAATTGAATCATTGTTTGTTTACATCCTGATTGATGATGTCAATGCAGACATCGCAGTAGATTGCATTCGATGTGTATTTCGGAGTGGGTTTGCGGCTTCTATTACTGTTGTGACCGACTGTTTGGAAGCAGACAGCTGGAATTGTGTATAAGTAGATTCATCTACTGGTGTGAATGGGATGAATAATAGCTGGCCAGGGGTTGGCCCGGGACCTGTGTCAGAAATCGGCATGGGAGCTTGGCTTATACTAGATAATGGCAAATGGCACAGGTTTGACAGGGGTTGTCAATGCCGTTCGAACTTTGAATAATATGAATTTGTAATTTCTGGGAGAGTGGGGCTAGAGAGGCAAGAGGGCCTCTGAAAGTAAGGGCGGCGGAGAGGGGCAGGCACAGGAAGGAGGGCGGGGGAAGGGGGGAGGGGTGGACATGCGTGAGATTCCTGGGAGAGGCACGAGGGCCTCTTACAGTAGGTGAGTATCAACTGTAGTCATCCATACGCAAGAACCTTTGTAAAAAAATGAGATGAAGATGGTGATGCGCACAGAGGGGGGAGAGGAGGAGGGGGGAAGGGGGGGGGAAGTCGGGGCGGCGTGGTGTGTTTCTTGGTATTGAAATCGTTAGTTGGTTGACTAGTGGAAATGAATGTGTTTTATTCGCACCATATGGTGTGCTTGACGTGCCCACTGGTATGTGTGAAAAGGGAAAGTAGGTGAGGGATGCGACTTCGATTGTCACAAGATAGCAGGAACTGAAGAGTGTGAATGGATTGTGGAAGGTGGGAAGAGGGGCCATGTTTGGGGGAATATTGGTGAAAAGGGCAGGTGAGTGAGTGGTGTGAACACCAATCGTCCCAAGAATACCAACGGCAGAGTGTGGGTTGATTGTCGGGACAGTGACGAGATTTGGGGGAATTTTGGGGGGTAGGAAGTATTGGGAAAAGCTATGTATGCGTTACGGTCGTACGGAGGAAAAGCATGACAGGTGTGATGTGTCACCACCCATCGGCTACAGAGAATAGCTTGGGTGATATGTGTGAAGTAGAGCTCCGATTTGGTAGTGCACATCTCGAGAGTTCTGTGGTCCTCTTCTTTAACGTCTCTGAAGGCAGCCAGTATTCTGCTCTTACTCCTAATTAATGATCATCAGAACAGTGATTCATCTTCAAAAGAATGATGAAGTTGTAGTAAACGTGTAATGCATTGAAGTAGGATGCACAATAGCTGCTGCTTCAGAGAAGAGGAAGACGGCCGGCGGAGGAGTGAGGAGGTGGTGCACCTGGGGGGCCAGGGTAGGAAGGAGGGAGGATGCCCCTTGGAGCAGAGGAGTGTGGGGAACGAAGGCGGGCGATCTTTTGCAGACAGATTTGGTTGACATGGGTGTGGAAGTACAGGTTCCCGCTTTCCATTTGAGCATTCAAGGCAAAGCGTAATTCACCCAGCGAGGTGCGGTGTGTGCTTTGCTTGGGCTTTCCGGCTTCATCAGAAGTCGGTGCTGTTATGAGCTTTTATGCTTGCGTCAGTCAGCCCGCTGCCGAATGAAGTGCAACGAGTGGACTCAGCATCTGGCTGCGATGTGCGGAGGATTTGACGCAACACGTGTTTTTTTGTCATGACATAGGCTGCCAGACTTCTGAGCAAGGGGTTTTATCGACGGGATAACTGACGCGTCTTATCGACGGGATAACTGACGCGTTTTTTTCTGAGGAGGTATGCTAAGTGAATGAATGTGGGGTTCACAGCATGCAGCAGAGGAAGGGGTTTTGGTGGGACTCTGGGGAGGAATATTTGACAGATTTTCTCGCGAACATGGCTTTTTTGACAGTGTGTGCTTCTGTCGCCGCTTTGCCGCGGATCAGGATGGAGAGGCGAGCCTCTGGGAGGAACAGGGAAGGACTCAGTTAATTTCTGTCACTGTGGTAGAACATGGCATTACTGCACGAGCCTGCCGGCAGAGTGACTGGGCAGGAATACAGGTGGTGAGTTCCCTCGAAGATACGACGACAATCCATTTGTGGGGATGGTTGCAGGCGGTCGTAACAGTAGAACTACGTATCGTATCGTTCATCCGCTGCATCGGAATCTCTGATCTGGTGTACTGCCAGACTAAATGGTTTGGTGAAAAGCCAAGCTGTCTTCTGGCACCATGGTTACTTCTGCATCTGCAATGTTGATGAGTTATGGAGATGCCCAGGAAGAGGGGTGTAAGGCTTTGTTGGTGTTGGTAGAGGGGCGTAAAGCTTTGGTGTTGGTTTCTGAAGTCACAAGCATTGGGAGTGCTGTGCTTTTGAACCCAATGAAAAGCATGCGGTTTGTGCGGATTGAAACGCGTGTTCATGGAGTATATTTTCTGAAGGGGACAGGTGAGCAATCAGGTTGGGTGGAGCACGAAGAGGGGATACGAGAAGGTGGGGGGAGGAAGAGGGGGGGGGTTCAAAGCTTTGGTGTTGGTTTCTCAAGTCACAAACATTGGGGTTGCTGTGCTTTTGAACCCAATGAAGGGTTGCAGTTTATTGTGCGGATTGGAACTCGATGCTCATGGAGGCTGTTTTGTGGATGGGAGTATGGTGAGCGGTTCAGCAATTTGGCAGCTTGGGTGGGGCATCAGGAGGGGGAGTGAGGAGGTGGATGGGTCAGCAATTTGGCAGCTTGGGTGGGGCATTACGAGGGAGTGCGAGAAGGTGGACGGATAAGGAGTTTAGGGGAAAAAAGGTGTCACGGATCCTGACACGACAGTGGTTTTTGCACTGCGCAACATGTACAATGTGTATATATGCGTCTCTGTACATGCTGGTGGCTGTGTGCTTGCATGCGATGCGAGCCTTGTATATATTACATATATTATTACATATGATGTACTTGAAAGATGTCGGGTTTCTATTCTTCATTCCTGTTCGCTTTCTACTTTTGGTTGCACCAGACTTCAAAGGTGAAATCACAAGAAAGTGAATTGAATTGTGCGGCATAGGTTATGGAATTTTCTTCTGTCAATTCGCCTGTAGAGGATTGATTGTCTTATTATAGACATCTTCTCTGGTCAGAGGCTTCGTTCCGCCGACAAAACTTTGGGAAGGCAGGCCCTCTCTCTCTCTCTCTCTCTCTCTCTCTCTCTCTCTCTCTCTCTCTCTCTCTCTC